TTCCAGGCTATGTTCGAAGAGTGCCGAATTAAAGCCGAAGCTGAAGGTTATGACTATTTTGGTATCCAAAACAAGATCGAATGTTGGGGATCAAATGACGCAGAAAAAACCTATAACAAGTATGGCTGTGCTTCAAACTGCTTGGTGGGAAACGATGATGACTATGGCATAGGGCAAGAATGGTCTAATTTTCTTTAYCGGGTGAAGAAAGGTAATGTGATGAGTACCTTAAAACTCAAAACTTTCATGTTTTATTATTGATACCCTAAGCCAGCATCTGGGCTCACAGATAGAACCCATGCGTGAGACAACATCTGGGCTGATCAAAATCAGGGCATGGCTAACCCACAGACCGAACCCTAAAACAATCTCTGGACTGATCTAAGTCTAGGCATGGCTAACTGACAGATTGAACCCTGAAACAACCTCTGGGCTGATCTAAGTCAGGACACGGCTAACTCAAAGATTGAACCTAGTGAGACAACTTCTGGGCTGTCAGAACATGGACGAACTCACAGATCGAATTATTGAGATMATAATTTTTGAAGAAAAACCCGGGAAAAAAGGTAAAGTCCTAGCAATAGCAAACTCAACTCACAAGTGGTAATACTTAGTCTTAGAATGGAACCCGAAACTCCCGAGGTGAAAGGCAACGAAGTACAGTTTCACTACACCACCCCCACTAGTTGATTCCCACTTACATTGAACTGCGATAGTTGAAGAAGGTGAATGTAATCCTYCTGCAAATGTGTAAGTTTTGAGTGTTCACTTTGATTTCATTGCCAACCTAACTTTTTCACCTTTTGATTTTCTAAAGCGGAAAGAAAGCCAAATCAAAAAAAGGAAATAAATCATTTAAGAATTGAAAAGGTCGATAAAGGCGAAAGTAGTTTCCGTTAAGAATCTTGATTTTTAATGCGTAAATTTTTTTTACTGTTTAGAACCTCGTATCATGAAATTAACTAAATCTTTTGCAATCCAAGCAAAGAAAATATCGGTTGTTTGGAAATCCGGTTTTGGAAATACAAAGAAATTTCCGCCTTCAGCACTAACATCATGTAGAAATTAAAAAAAAATAAAATAAAAAATAAAAAGAGAAGAAGGACAAAAAACCGAAGAGCTTGCAACTGAAGCGGAAACGGTCAAAATGTCAAAATACTGTCAACCAAGACTCTGCAGGGGATTAAGAACGGTGGACCTTATAAAAGAAGTGTAAGCACTAATCAGTAAATACTTTATTTTGTCTTGTAGAGTGGACAAGCTGCGACAATACGAAATGCGTTCAGTATAAGATTGTGACTTMTCCAACCTCCAACAACGATTGTCCCTCTTTTAACAAGGAGGTCAAAGTGACAGAAACTTCACGACCATGTGAAAATAAAGACAAATGTGTTYGTAAGTATCGCAATTATTTACACTGTTTTCTTAAAATATCTTATAAACCCAAAGGCAACTACTGACTTGACAAATTATGTCATACCAAAGGGCTTCCCTTCTAGCAGAGTCTCCCTCGTTGGCGATTCTTGATGGAGACTCTACTAGCAGGGAAACAAAAGGCGGTACGTCAACGATGAAATCACTCATGGCCTAATTTCAGTCTAGTACTGTTACACTCATTTCAATAAAGTTAGTCACCAAAAACCTAGAAAGCTGAGATCACTGAGCATCATGGGAAACTTTTCATATCAAAAAAGCATATATATACAAAGCTTTTTYAATACAAACTGCAGCTCGATGATGCTCAGAAGAGGTGAGACTGTAAGTCCATGAACAGTTATCAAGCGGTTGAACGTGTTAAATGAATTTACCCATAATCCTTGTCGGCCTAAGCTTTATAGCTTTTCAGGTGACTAACTTTATTGAATTACCCGAGAGAGAGAGAAAAAAAAACGATTACACAATCGGATCGAAAATCTGTCTTTGAAAAAAGGAATATATCCCTTTTTATACTCGCCAAAGAGGAATTCTTGGCAATTTACAGGATGTTTTTAATCTTGGGAAAAGTGTATTAACATAAAATATGTATCAAGGGCGAGGAAGTCGCACATGCAGTTCAAGATAGCTGCTACAAAACTCAATTGCTTAGAGCGTGCGGTGGTTGATAGGATTTCGTTATTAAACCTTTGATAGAAGACGATGCGAGACTGACTATATATAAATCTCATGATATTCTCACGATTACATGATTAATTCGGCTTGTTCGTATAGTTTATTTGGTGGTACAAGCACCTTGTTTATGACTCGGAGGCCAGACAGCTGGGTACAATTTGTGACAGAACCGCAATTCGTTTTTTTTTTTAACTCTCGGGCCCTTTGATGCCAGAGCAATGTACAAGGAGTTCTAATGTATGATGAACAAATGAAAATATCATTCGACGTGTTAAAGGACGTGTTAAACGAGTGATTAACCGCCACCCGGTTAGCTCAGTTGGTAAGAGCGTCGGTCTGTTGTGCGGAAGGTCGTGGTTCTAGCCTCGGACGGACCAACACTCAGGGTCTTAAAATAACTGAGGAGAAGGTGCTGCCTTTGTAATTATATCTGCAAACGGTTAGACCTTCAAGTCTTCTCGGACAACCCTTCCTAACCTACAGTAAATGGGGGGGACATAAAAGAACCACTGGGGCCGTAAAAAGAAACCCTGGCAGTGACCACCTTCAGTGCCTCCACTTCATACTAACCATCTGTCATGCTTGTAAATTGCATTAAAAGCTAAGCAATCTGTCATTCACAACTCCATGTGAAAGCGCCTTTGATTATGTCCACATAGAAAAGGGCGCTATATAAATCATAATCATCAATCATCATCAAAAAGACGAACATGAATGGACTCGAGAAATGCAAGAAAATGATCTATCCAGTCGACCTAAATTAATTCATTTCAAAATATTAAAAAAGAAAAACAAATCCCGCGGTTTCGTGATTTTTTTCCAGTTGATGGTGGGTGGAGTGAATACTCAGAATGGTCGGAATGTACTGTAAGTTGTGGCGGTGGGACGAGAGAAAGAACTCGCACCTGTACAAACCCTGCTCCAGCAAACGGAGGCAAAAACTGTGAGGGAGAAAGTAAACAGACCCAAGCCTGCAACCAAAACAAGTGTGGTAAGTTAAGCGGAATATTTTTTTTAACACTTGATTAAGGACGCTTGCAGGCATTGTTTGCGCGCATCCTTTCTACTCATGGSGGCGTAATGTATAAAGGCAATTGGCAACGAATAAATACATAGTCCTTGATTTACGAGAGAACAAACCTGTGGTCCTCATTCCATGATCAAATTGGTAAGAAGTAGATTTTTGTTGACGGAAACAAAACTGGACAATCGGGGAGAGAATCTCTCAAACCAACAAGCAACTCTACTGAAAGCAAAACCAGGGATCGGAAACAGAAATAACCAAGAGTTCAAACATGACATTGTCGCTTCCAGAAGCATTATTGAAAGCTTCAATACGAAACTAATGGCGGAGAAAATGCTCAATGATATCAATTACATGAATACTCGTTCCGGTCCCGCTCGACAAATAGCCTCTTGTTCAAATAGTTTGTGCAGTGTTTTCTCGTGTCATGAACATTATTTGTACTTATGACTTTTTCCCAGAGCCTAAACCCACTCCAGGTCCTAGCCCTGGTCCAGGTCGTTGTTCAAGCTGCAGTAGATCTTGCGGAGGAGGTGTACAAACATGTAGGTGCGATGGTGGTCACGGGGGTCACGGGGGTCACGGAGGTCATGGCCACGGAGGTCATGGTCACGGAGGTCATGGTCACAGAGGTCATGGTCACGGAGGTCATGGTCACGGAGGTCATGGTCACGGAGGTTATGGTCACAGAGGTCATGGTCACAGAGGTCATGGTCACAGAGGTCATGGTCACGGAGGTCATGGTCACGGAGGTCATGGTCACGGTCACGGTTTACACTTTGGAATAGGATTAGGATTTGGCAAAAGAACGCCTAGCGGGTCATTTGATAAAAGAAAGGAAAATCCCAGTCTTAGTAATGATCCCTTTTTTGGTATTGGAGCAAACCTAGGAATCGGTTTCGGTCACGGTCACGGCCACGGCCACGGTTATGGTCATGGTCATGGTCATGGTCATGGTCATGGTCATGGTCATGGTCATGGTCATGGTCATGGTCATGGTCATGGTCATGGTCATGGTCATGGT